ACAGCCGAGAAAAAGGGAACCAAACTAAAAAGAACGGGCTCCAATTAAGTAAATCAAACCTAACGAATAATTACAAAAGGCTTTGGAGTTTGGACACGGAGGCCCATAGGGAAATGTGAAAGTGAACAAGAGCGCAAACATCCTCCTCCGAACTTTTAACCCCTCTAAAAAATCCTGTTATTTCTCTCAGTCCATAAACTCCAAAGAACAACAAAGACCACTACTTGCCATGAGAACTGACCCTTGTCCCTAAACGGGGGGTGATGAAGAACCTCCTCCAACATTGAAGAACAATCACGGGCTCGAGCTAGGTGAACCCCAAAAGCCTGTAGCAATTCATCCTAGACAAATGAAGCAAAGTGGCAGAGGAGATGATCGAGATCCTCAGTAGCACCTCTACAAAGGATACAACATGGGGGCCCATACGGAGCAAATGATTGCCTGAAAATGCAGTCCAAAGTACTAACCTTGCAAAATTGCTTTTCAAAACTTAGTGATAGCTCAGTCCTCACACTACCAGACTTTAACCAGCCTTTTGAAGTGGCTGTGAATGACTTTGGAGTTGGGATTGGGGCTGTTCTATCACAAAACAACTACCCATTGAATACTTTAGTGAAAAACTTAGCCCATCTATACAAAATTGAAGTACTTAGGATTTAGGAACAAGAATTATACTCTCTTGTGCGTGCTTTGAAACAATGGGAACACTACCTTATAAGTAGGAAATTTATCCTCTTCACTGACTATTACTCCTTAAAATTCTCACACAAAAATCAGTAAGCCGTATGCATGCTAGATGGCTTTCCTTTTTGCAACATTTTGATTTCACGTAGGAACCACCAACCAATCGTGCTGCAGACACTTTAAGATGAAAAGGCAGCCTCCTTACGCTACTAAGGGGGGAAGTGGTAGCTTTTAATTATTTACGTGATGCCTATGCAAATGATATTGATTTCCAAGATATTTTTTTTTTTGATATGAAACAAATATTTCATTGATGGTATGAAATATACAAAAGGCCACATGTGCAATTACAAGAAAGATTGATTTCCAAGATATCTGATTTAAGTGTTCTAACAACATAAATGCTACTGATTTCCACATCTTTGATTGCCATCTTTTTAAAGGTGACAGATTGTGCATACCACACACCTCACTTAACAGAATCTCTCATCAAAGATATACACTTGGAGGCCTAGTTGGACATTTTTGCCGACAAAACCCTTGATCTAGTTTCTGCACAATTTTATTGGCCACAATCAGAAAAGATGTTATTAACTTTATTAAACATCGTTTTACATGCCAAACTTACAAAGGCACATCTCAAAACAAGATTATACACCTCTTTACCTACCCCTGCTACAATTTGGAAAGATTTATTAATGGGTTTAATTTAGGACTTCCAAAGACTCAAAGGGGATTTTTGGGGATTTGATTCAGTACTTGTCGTGGATTGGTTTAGCAAACTGTCTCACTTTTTAGCTTGTAAAAAAAACTTCTGATGCTGTTTATATGGAAAATCTATTTTTTAGAGAAATAGTACGGCTTCATAGAGTTCCCAAGACAATCGTTTCCGATCTAGATATCAAATTCCTTAGCATTTTTGTAAAACCTTATGGAAGAAATTTGACACCACCTTGAAGTTTAGCACTACAAGCCACCCATGGCCAAACAGAAGTAACTAACAGAACTTTGGGGACTTTACGTTGCTTAAGTGGCGCCCACCCTAAACAATGTGACTTTGCTCTTGCACAAGTAGAATTTGCTTTCAACTAAGAATAGATCCACAGGGAAGTCCCCCTTTAAGGTTGCTTACACTAAATTACCTCGTTTAACTTATCATCTAACTAAACTACCATCTTCTCTTGATATTAGTCAAGAGGCTGAGCCAATGGCAATCCAAATAACAGAGCTATGCAATGAGGTTCATGACAACATTGAACAGGCCAACTCCAAATACAAGATGGATGCAGATGCTAAACAACAGATTAAGGAGTTTCAAGAAGGCGACCTTGTCATGATACATCTAAGAAAAGTCGATTTCGAGCATGCACATATAACAAACTAAAGAAGAAGAAACTTGGAACGCTCAAAATATTGAAGCAATAGTGATTTGTTGCGGTACGCGCAAGCTAGCCCGGGCACATGGATATCAAAAAGAAATATATATATTGAAGCAATATGGACCTAAAGGTTACAAAATCCAACTTCCTTCTGACATGAAAATTAGCCAAATTTATAATGTGGCAGACATCTACTCCTATGAAGCATCGGATGACTTTTCTTTTGCTACTTAAACTCGAGGTCGAGTTCGTTTTAGGGACGGAGGGAAATTGATGTAACTAACTACTTTGTAATAGTTTTTCTATCCTTTAGCTATCAGCCACAATTTATTATCTTGAATTGGAGCCATTTTTTATATGGCTAGATTAGCGTTGTTTGGCTTCCTTTAGTTGGGGGGCTGTCATTTCATGGATTGGATGAAATTACAAAAAAAGGAAGAAGACTCCCATATCCAGAGGAATCACAAAAAACACTTCCTTT